TGGCTTTGGGATCAGATAGGCCATGATTTCATTCACTTTTGCAGGGGTTTTCTTTTGTTTTTTGAAACAAGGTCTCACTATGTAGTCCAGCCTGACCTTGCACTCACACAGGCAGGCTCACCTTGAACTCATGGCAGTTTTCCTGCTTCAGCCTCCCCAGTGCTGGGATTATAGGCATATGCCAAATTATAGTATTTTAATCCAGGTCCTCCACTTATCCTGTTACTCAAGATCACTGCAAGTGTCTTCTTATTACGTTTAATAAGAATCATCATGTTAGCCTCGGAGGGTGGATGTGAGGACGAGGACTTGTACTGTTAGAGTCTTACATTCTTGCTTGCTATCCCTATCTGTGGGCGTTGACCTACTCTGGAAACTGAAGGCCAGTCTGATCCCCAGAGCATAGCCAGACCAGTTTCTGCCTTCCAGGAACTCCCAGCCAGTGCAGCAATTGACACAGACTCAGAGGTCCATGGCCCACCACCCAGGTACACAAGGGACAGGCAGGTACAGTAGGATGGAGATGCTCCCAGGACAGGCAGCAGAGCCAGAGCTGGATCTTGAGCCATGAGTAAGATTTCAACAGGCAGAGGGCAAGGAATGCATACCAGGTTCCTCCCTCTGGGCCTCAGTTTCCTCCTTGATAACATACGAATAATACCACCTACCTTTTTCTCTGCTGCTGAGAGGATTAAGTAGGATAAAGCATAGGAAGCACCTACCGCAGTGTTGGGTTCATATCAGGTACTGGCTAAACAGAGGCAATTACTTTACATTGTGCTGGATAATGAAACCCCAGTGGGTGGCCTCCTTCCATAGGGAACTGTCTTCTCCCCTGTGACTCACCTCCAGGGGACTGCCAAGGGCCAAGGGTGTCCTGAGCTCTTGGGCAGGTTAGAGCCATCCAGTTCTCTGAGAAAGACTCTCAGTTTTCCTGAGAAAGACTTATTCAAAAGAAATCATACTCAAGGGAACTACTCATGCTTCATTTTAGCAAACATAGACCCTGGTCCTAAAAAGAATAATTTCTCCTAGGTCAGAGCTGGGCCACAAGTCCAGGTTTCTATCATCTAAGAAGACATGTATCATGTCCCTGAGTCAGCCCAGGTCCTCCCAGCCTTGTCTTCAAGGGACTGCTGTGCCACGCCCAGAGAGACCACCTAGGAAAAAGCAGTAGGCTAGAATTTAAAATCAGTCAGTTTTCCCTCTAGGCCTTAATTTGTAAGACTGGGAAGGAGTGGGTTAACTGTCAAAAGGCTACCACTTATAATCTCAGGCATCAAAAGGCTGAGATAGTAATAATTATAATATAATGATAATATTATAAGGGCTGGGGAGATAGCTCAGTAGAATAAGCACTTGCCTGGTAAGTGCGGGGTCCTGAGTTCAATCCCTGGTACTGCAAAAAATAATAATTCTCAAAAGGCTAAGACAAGAAGATGATGACTTCAAGGCTTGCCTGGACTACCTAGCATATTCATGGCTGGCCTAGATTATGACAGCCTGTCTTTAAACACACACACACACAGAGCCAAGTGGAGTGGCTCATGACTGTAGTTCTGGATACTCGGGATGTTGAGTCAGGAGAATTGCAAATTCAAGGCCATCCTTGTTAAGACCTCATCTAAAACAAAACCAACCAACCAACCAACCAACATAAAACAGGGTGGCACAGACTAATAAGAGCAGACCCTGGCAGGATTAGGGCTGCCCCTTCTGGGCTGGGTGTTAATTTTGCTTTTTGGGACTGGAGTTGCCCAGGGGTCGTAGGAGGAGCCAGCCCAGTCAGAACCAAAGAAGGCCACATGGGGTGCTGAAAGTTGTGATTCTTGGCCCTGTCATTGCAGGACAGGTAGGACCAGTCTCCACTAGTCAGTCTCAGCAGACCCTTCCTCCCAGGCCATGAGGAGAAAACAATGAGATATAGCCCAACTTCATCATTTCTTATCAAAACTGAGAAAGTTCAGGGTCCCCGCCATGACTCAGGTGAGTTAAATCATTGGTGGAACCAGGCATATGTCCTCTGTCTTAGTGACTCTCTTTCCTGGGACAAAAAATACTCAAAGAGGAAAGCTTTATTGGACTCACAGGTTTTATCAGTTTCAGTCCATAGCCAGCTGGCTGCAAGGCAAAAATGGTGTGGTGGAAGGGCCTACTGTGAAAGAAAGCTGCTCACATATGGCAAACTGTAAGCAGAGA